AAAAAAAAAGTTGGTGAGAAAAGTCTAAAGAAGGCCACTAGCTTTCCTGGAGTGTAGCAGCGTAAAAGGGATAAAGATATTAGACATTCTCGTACAAGTACGAGTACAGTGCGCTTAGTACCACTGGTGGGAAGAGCACAACAACGAAAAATATCGGACGGGACGAGTGCCGCTACGTACAATAGGAAAGAGGCGAAAAAACGTGGTTTTTCGGTTTGCTAGCAGCCCAGCAGAAAATTGTCAAATTATAGAAAATAAAATTATTGAGTGACTTTCGCGCCGGATTGTGCACTAGTGACGCAAATAAAACGCTGTAAACGTCGCGAGCTCGTTGAAAAATGGAAAATCAAAACAATACCGCTGCCGTCGTCTCAGATGCAGCCACTGCTGCAGAAAATGGTTCGAGCGCTACTCAGGAAGTCTCATCTACAAGTAAGTACATAGATGAAAAAATCTAGTATATGTGTATGACTGTTTGGAGGAAGAGTGTCATAATTTAAGATTTTTATTAAGTACAATTGCTTTCAGCTGTTGTGGGACTTTTTCATACGAATTAAAAAAATTTCCTAGTGTTTTTTGGTATTCAGCAGTGAACCGATTAGTGTACATAAATTCAATATGTATGTATATGTAGATATTTGAATGGCGTACGATGAGGGAATATTGATATTTTTTGGTATAAAATGGGGGAGGAATAATAAGCTATATCGTAAGTTTTCTGCAAGCGTCTCATAGTCCAAAAATTCAAATACTCTACAAAAACTGCTTTTAAAGTTTGCGGTCTGCATTTGCCATGTTAAAAATGAAGAGCCTTGTTAATCGATACAGCTATTATTGTACACAACATAGAAGGGGTAGGGTGGGTGTCTGTCATTAATTCATATGTAATTTATTATTTTTTGATTATGACCCTCTTGCAGTAAAATTACCGGGAAAATTTTAGTAGACGGACGGCAAATTCTAGAAAAAGGGGGGATGAGGGGGGGTAGAATAGGACCCCCTGATTTCAAAACTACCCCGCTTTTTTCTAGCAACCCTATAGTTCTTTTATAATTTATTGTTAAAGTTTTTATATAAACGATGAATAAGATAGCAAAATAACATACAACTTAGTGCTACCAGACTGGAATTTTGAATAATAAAAGCGGATTTTTAATTCGGAATTTTTACTTAGTAGAATTATTATTTCTGTGTTGCCGAAGAAGGGGGGGCTGAACACATTTTGCAGAGAACACCTTTCTGCGTAGGCGGCCTTCGGCCGCACTTAGGGATTATAACCAATAGAATTCTCCTTTCTGTTTTGCGAAGAAAAGGAGCTGAACATTTTCTTTTGTATTGATTTCCCCTGTATTCCTTTTTAATCATTGCCTTCTTTGTATGTATTGTTTTGTACAATTTTGCAACACATGTTATGTGTCAGTTTGCAACCATGTGTTATTGTAAATATGCGTGAAATTCAATGTAATTTACAAGTCGATAAAAGTTTAATTAAAGTGATTTATATACAAGATAAAATAAAAGAAAAGTGTGTAAAGTATTAAGTACAGTGTTATGTGCATTTATATATATAAAAGTATGCACAAATGCTTTTTTGTTAAGGAAACCAAGTGGAACGACTTAAGAAATTTTAACAACAAATAACTTATAAACAATGATATTTAGGGGATTCACAAGACGTGTTAACCGTCGTAAAATCTTAAGGTTAACATCTTTTTTAATTAAAATGGTTTTAGGGGATTTCTAACTAAACTGAAATTCTTTTAAACTGATAAAGAATATATAATTAGCCAACCCCCCCAACCATTTTAACCGCTATTTTACATAAACAAGTGTTAAGCTTAAGATTTTACGACGGTTAACACGTCTTGTGAATCCCCTAATTATTTATATTTTTTAGTTATACATGTTTTAGAGGATACCTCCCTTAACATCCTGACCAAGTTTCATTTGTTAATTCCACCTGGTTTTCTTAAAACACAAGGTGCGGCTGACTACTAAAGCCCACCCCTTTCTTTTGCTGGTTTCTTGCAAGTTTCTGCGTACGAAAACGCCTTTTAGTAAAAACCAGTAAACTAGTACTGGATTTTAC